ATTTATAAAATCGGAGTAGTGCTGCCAACTATCAGCACAGAGAATTGTGTGAATCAAATGAGATAGTGTGGGCAAATTAGTACTGTATTTGCAAAGAGAACATATGTAAATAGGAAGGATTATTATTCTCTTTAATTTAGACCAATGCCAAAGTTAGTAATCTGTGCCCTGGTTATTTTAACTCAATGTTTACCACCCTATTTTTTTTTTTAAATCAAGACTCAAGGGCATAATTGGATTATGCTCAGTGCCTGGTGTGAAGTTTATAATTCTACCCTTTTTCTATTCAGGAGAGTATTTTGGAGTGTCAGTGAACAAAAAAAGATGTTATCGCAAGGCTTTTCTTGAATTCTTACTAATTTATGAAGAAGGTAGATGATGTGTGTATTTTTCACTTTCCCATTGCTGGTACTGAACACCTGACACCCATTACATAGAGATTCATTTTGGCTCACACTTGCCAGTGGGCTCAGTCCATGGTCAGCTGGCTCCAAGGTGAAAGGGTGTGGTGAAGGGAACCTCACACTTCTTGTTAACCAGGAAGTAGAGAGCAAAAGGGCAGAGCTGGGGACAAGAATGTATACGTCCGGGTTATGTCCCCAGTGACCCTCTTCCAACAAGGCCAAGTTAAACTCAAACTATAACATTCTTCCCTGGCCTCCAAGAGGCTCATGTCCCTGTCAGTGTATAAAATGCATTTAGTCCATCTTAAAAGTTGGCTTTGCCGATTTTTGCTCTTAATGCTTATTCAGCTATCAGTACCCATTGTCACAGTCTGAACATTGGCCTGCCTTGAAATTTCCTCCACCAGATTGATTAGTCCACTGCCTTTATATTGAGCCTTTTACAAAGTCTTAGGATGGGGTAAAATGAAGACAGTTTGTTTGCCAGAATAAAACATGCATGGCCTCTAGTTGAGTTTCCAATATGCTCTTTATTTCCCTTTGAAACCTCATAATGCTGGATTTTATTGTCAGCATTCTTATCAGTATTCTGGTCTTTTCAGCTCTAGCCAAAATGACCCATTAAACATGTCTTACAGCATTTTAGGGCTTTCTAGCCAGCCTCTCTAAACCTTTCCAGATTTTTCCTATACAACACTTTCAAAGGCTTCTATATCCCATGGTCAGGTATAGTCCAGTAACACCCCTGCTCCTAGTACCAATTTTCTGTGTTAGTCAGCTTTCCCCTGACTTGGAGAAAATGCTCACTACCTGAACTTACAGGAGGAGTGATTTATGTTTCCAGTGAGGTCAACCCATGTTTGGCTGGCTCCAAGGTAGAAATGGCATGCTAGAACGGTGTGGCAGAGGAAAGTATGGCGGCCAAGAAGCAGAGAGCATGCTGGGAATATAGCTCAGTGGCACAATGCCTGCCTGGTAAGCACCAGGTCCTCAGTTTGAGGCCCAGTACAAAAAAAAAACAAAAAAACAAAAACAAAAAACCCCCAGAAAACAAAGGAAGGAACTAGAGGCAAGAATATAGGTTTACCAGTGTCTCACCCCTCCAACCAGGCCCCAACTCTGAACATGAGACTTTTGGGGAATATCTGAATCATAACAATGTATAATCTTTAGGAATTAACTTTCACTAGTAAAAGTGGATCTCACCATATCTCCACAACTAAAACAACATTAGTTGGGTGTGATAGCACATGCGTTCAGGAGGCTGAGGCAGGAGGATTACTGCAAGTTTGAGGCCAGCCTGGGCTACAAAATGAGTTCAAGGCCAGCCTAAACCACATAGCAAAACACTCTGTCTCAAAAAGACAAAAAAAAGTAAGTAAACAAATATAAACAGCAACATTTATGGGCCCGTGTTGATGGGAGGCTCACTCTGTGCTGCGCACTCTCCTAAGTGTTTTGGCGTGCTCGTTTATTTGTTTCTCATCTCAGCTATCTAAAGTAGGTACCGTTGGGCCAGGGAGATAGCTCAGCAGCAGTGCCTGCCTAGCAAGTGCAAAGTACTGAGTTTGATTTCTGATACCAAAAACAAAATAAAGTCAAATAAAATAAAATAAAATAAAGTAGATGCTGTTATGTGAGGAAACTGAGGCCCAGAGAGATGATGTAATTTATTGTAGTCGTACAGCCAAAAAGGATTTGAGATTGAACCCAGACTCTGGTGCTGTAGAAAGCAGGAGGCTGTGGGCTGGGAGGCAGCTCTGCGGCTCACCAGTCATGTGACTGGGCGCAGCCAGTGGATTGGGGTATGGAACAGTTGGCTGCACTGTAGGCGAGGTTGGGCAGCAGCTAGGCTAGCTTCCTGTCTGTGCATGGGGAGAGGTCTCGCATGGTTACCTGGCTGTCTCTGCCTACTTCAGCAGAGTTCTCCCGCCCAGCCTCTGTCAGTGAGAACCATGATGCAGGGCCTGATGGTGACAAGCCAGAGGAGGATGCTGAGTCTGGAGGGCGGCGTTCGGAGGCTGAGGAGGGGGAGGTCAGGACCCCCACCAAGATCAAAGAACTAAAGGTAAGCGCCTAGGGTTTTCTATCTTCTACCCTGGAGATTGGGAAGCTGACCTGAGATCTAGGCTCGGTGGTCAAGTACCTTTGCTACCTGGTGCCTTCTGGACAGGGCCTTGCCCTTGGATGGTACACAGCACCTAGACATCCAGGGGGTGGGAATAAGGGTGGGCTCTTCCTTCCTTTTGCCCAGATGTTCCAGTGGCTGCTTGTCCCCTGGAGGACTTGGCTCCCTGTGGTTCCCTCATCCTCTGCCCCCTTTCTATGATCTGGCTCTGTGTCACCCCTTCCACCCCACACATGATCAGAAGCCATGAGGGTCCTCGCAGAGTAAGGTGCAGGTGTCTCCTTCCTGCTGCACCCTGCACTCAAAGCAACACACACACACACACACACACACACACACACACACACACACACCAGGATGTGCTCCTGCAGGAATGTGCAGCCTCAGGCGCACATGTACTCACCCTCAGACTCATGCCCTCCCAGACACACAAGACAGGGGCTTGCCTGGGCTGGACATGGCTTCCTCCTGCTAGAGGGGTAAAGCAGCTTTATTTCCACCATGCAATTCTGCCGTGTGAGCACAGGCTCCTGAACACACACCTACTGCAGCCAGAAGCAGGAAACCTCAGACACACTGACGCTGTCCACCTGCCAAGTTAGGCTCTGCCCACTTGGCCTCCAGCCATGCCACCCCTTCTTTGCCTTTCTGGGACAGTCCCTGCTTCCCACCCTTGCCTCCTTCCAGCTATCCCATAGTCCTGTGGGTGACTCAGAAAATTCCCCAGCTTGCCCTTCTTGGTTGGGTGGAGTGTGCTGGGCTGTCTTGCTGCACCAGGCCAGCCGCGGTATCTCAGTCCATTTGCTCTACTGACTCTGCTGGTTCCTTTCCCTCCTACCACATCCCGCTAGCCGGAGCAGGAAACCACGCCAAGACACAAGCAGGAGGTACTGCATGGGACCTGTTTCTCCCTACCCAACCATTCAGCTCCGCAGCGCATTTGTCACCACCTTATAGTCACTAATGCCTATTCCCAGCACCAGCTCATCTTTAGCTTCATCTCTGCCCACCCCCGCCATCCCCCTCCCCAGTCTTCCTTACCCCTCATCAAGATCATCTCTCCAGCTCCCTGCTCAGACTCCACTCCCAGCAGCCATCTCTCCTCCCTCCTGTCGCCTACCACCCTCCACCCATCCTCACACTCAGCCCCTCCAGGATACCTTGAACCCCATGCTTGCTTTTCACCTGCTGACCACCCCACCTATGTCCACGGGCTCTTCCAGGCCATTCTGTGCTTCCGTGTAGCTCATCTGCCCCCTCCTCCCACCTCCCACTCTGATCCTTCCTTAGACTCATCTCCCCCACAGCACTGTTCGGTCATGCCTCCATCTCATGTGTGTCCTCACTCAAAGCTTCTTTTGTATCTCTTGGCAACCAGATGTGGAAGTGGGGGGCTGGGGTGGGGAGGGAGGAGCTCTTGGAGTCCTTCTTTGTCTGCTTAGACTCTGGGTCTGCTCCCTCCTGGGTAGACTGTTGCTGCCTCCATCAAAAACCTCATTTCTGATCTCTTCTTCTCTTTTATTGCTTCTCTCCTTGGCGCTCACCACTTCTTCCTGTTTACAATCTGCAAACTTCATTGGAGTTTTGAATGCAGAAGAAGGGCATTTTCGCTGCTGAGAGAAAGAGCCAAGGGCTAGCCCATAGCTCAGGTTCTTTGAGGGTCTTAGGAAGGTCTCTTTAGGCCCCGGGACCCCATCCACACAGCAAAGCATTCAGACAGATTTCTCCACCCCACATAACCCTCAGGGACTCTGCTGCTCCTTGCAGCCTTTGGGAACACAATAGGCTACAGCCTTATGGAACTAGCAAGCCAGTAAGGGATCGTCTCAGGTTGAGGCCCACCAGCCCAAACCTGCCCTGTGTGCAAACTCCATCAGACTTGAACTCTCAGACAAATATTGTCCTGCAGGCAGTTCATCCCTAGGAAAGAGGGAGATAGGCTACAGGTACAAAACAGATGTGTGGAAGGAAGTCTGAAGCCTTGGTGGGATCAGTTTCTTTCTAGAAGGAGCTTAGGAGACAATCACAGTGGATCCTTGGATGCCAGAGATAAGCCCAGCAGAAGACTCTAGCCTTGTCCAAGAGCAGGCTTACCTTCCTGGTAGTCCTCCCAGAGCCACCTTATCTGACTTTAATAAGCTGAGATTGTCCATTTTGTACCCTTGACAGGCTTACCATGAGTCTTCAGCCTTGCAGATAAGGTTCTCAAGCTGCCAGCCCACCAGCTGTGTCCCAGAAGCAGGCAGATATACAGCTTTGGCAGATCACTGCAGCTGGCCAAGCTGGACGTAGGCAGATGACTCCAGCATGCTGCACTGCATGAGCAGACCAGTGGTTTAATGAGTGCAGTGGCTCCAGCTGTACCTGACTCAGTTCTTACACCCAGCCCTGGAACTTGTCTTTTTTTTCTTTCTGGTTTCTAATTTTCCTAAACATCTTGCAGCATTCTCAGCTCTGTGTGGCTTTATATCACCCCATCTGCTATTGGCAAATCAGTACCCAGAGCCATCTTCAGGCTCTTGAAGGTGGAGAAGGTTATGGGTCATAGCATAGAAGGTTGCGCAGTCTCATCCTGGCCCCTGGTCCTGGGTGGGGGAGCAATACCCACTTTTCTACATGGCCTTGGTTATAGGCATTTCATCACTGTAGGCTTGCCCAGGGCCTAGGAAATTAATTGTACATGTTGGACTCAGAGGAGCCTAGACTGGACATCACTTAGTACAGGGGTCTGTGTCTGGGCCAGAGGTGAAAACCAGGGTCCAGGAGGAATCCGGGAGGCCATTGAGTATACTGCAGCAGCCCAATAAACAGGATCAAGGAGTTCTCACTCTGGTGGATCTTTGCTTTGGCTGTATCCAAAGAAATATTACTCTCAAATCTGACTACAGCTGAGCTCCTAGCACCCAACAGAACTTCACCTAGCCCTGAAGGCCTTGGGTTGAATTGAGTCTTCTGAAGTCAGGAGTCAGGCAGGGGAGAAGAGAAGGTGATTTGCTGGAGTCTCCTCTCTGTCATTCTAAGTGTCTTTTGGTCAGTGTCCTACTGGGGCTTTTGGTCCTTGCCCCACTTGGCTCCTAGGGCTGTTGAGAGAAAGACAGTATCAGTGAGGTAAATCACAATGTCACTGCTGCCACCATCCCTGCATCCTGCGTCGCCCACCCAGAGCTGTTCGCCTGACGCCGCTGTCCTCTTCATCCATCTCTAGTTCTTAGACAAGCCTGAGGATGTCCTGCTGAAGCATCAGGCCAGCATCAATGAGCTCAAGAGGACCCTGAAGGAGCCCAACAGCAAGCTGATCCACCGGGACCGGGACTGGGAGCGGGAGCGCAGGCTGCCCTCCTCGCCTGCCTCACCTTCGCCCAAGGGCACCCCTGAGAAAGCCAGCGAGGTAGGTCTCACCCCGAAGTCCTCAATAGAGACCTTGGATAAAGAGGTTTTGGGGGGTCACTGTGTAGTAACTTACATCAACCTCCACATGGTTACACTTCTCCTGTTGTTGCCTGCAGGGCTGGTAAGGCTAAGGGAGACAGATTCACCAAGTCTTGGAATTCTAGGTCCTTGGGACCACTCTGAAGCACAGAAAAGCTAAAATTGAGAGTAGTTTGGTGTACTCCCCTCCCTTCAGTCAGAATATAGTGGGAAGGAGCTATTATTAGAAATGAAAAAAAAAAAAAAAAAAGAAAGAAAGAAAGAAAGAAATGCCTATCCCAGGGCCTGCCCTCAGCCCTACTTGGTCAGCTTTTTGGTGGTAGAGTGCTGGAACTAGCATTTTAAGCAAGTGCTTTAGGTGACGATTTCCTTTCATATTAAACTTTGAGAATCTTCATAACTCTATCTAGGACCCACACCTTTTTGTGTGTGTTATGAAAATAATGAGGTCACGGTCCCTCTAGGAAAGTAGCCTCTTGAGTCTACTAGAGGAGGGATCCACCATATGAACTCCCCTGCTTCTGAGGCTTCAGAAGAAGACCCCACATGCCCACCTTTCAGAGTAGAAAATGTGGGGTATTTTTTTTTCTCAATTGAAAAAGAGATGAAGATTTGGGAAATTCCTCTATGTATAATCCCAAGCTCTTATTTTTAGCACATGCTAAATCTCAGCAATATTTACCCCAGTTTATACAAAAGCATTTTCTCTCTAGACCCACAGCTCACTGGTCTCAAATCCAGTGGTGGTGTAGACTTATGCTGCCTGGGTTTGAATTCTTGGCTTTCGTGCCTTCTACCTAGATGACTCTGGGCTTGCTACTTAGCTAATCTCTCTTGAGGTTGTGAGGATCAAAAGATACTGTGTGGAAGGAGAGCACTGTGATATGTTGGTGTCAAATATGTCTTACTTATTTCATTTTGAGAGTCCTTTATCAAAAAGGTCAACTTCAGAGTTACAACGACCCCTGGGACTTTCTTGGTTCAAGGTCTTCCTTTTACAAATAAGAACATTGAGACCTAAAAGGAAGAAAACATTTTCTAGTGCCATTCTAGCTAATAGCGGGACCATAAGCCACTTTTCTTGTGTCCCAGATCATCCTATTTGCCATTAAATCACAGCTGCCTCAAAGCCAGATCAAGTGTAAAGACCAGGCGCAGAGTGAGCTGTGTGCTGTGCTGTAGTACCCTGATGGCACAGCCAGAATCGAATTCAAAGAGCATTTGATTGAATCAGTACTTGCCATGGTCTGAGCCCACTAGATAACAGAGGGCTTTGCCTAGGGAGCTGGAAGCTCAGAGAAGCCCCTGGCTGCTGATTCACACAATGAGCGATGCTTTGGCGGCCTTTAAGGCTGGGGCCCTAGAATCTCGGCAGCTACTAAGACTTCTGTGGTTCCTGACACAACCAAAACACTTACTTGACTGGGCCTCTGGCTAATGTAGTGAACCAGTAAATAGCATCCCCTCTTCCTCCGCCTCCTGTGCTAGAGAGAAGATTGGCCAGTGTAACCTCTAATCAGTTCCAAAGTGACTAGGTCTAGACTTGGCTGGGGTGAAGAGCGATGCAGAATCAGCAGAAAGGCTCCAACTCCAGCAGAGGGAAAGGAGCATAGCTGAGCCCCAGGGTCTCAGAGCAGCCTGGTGTGGGGGGTGCCCCACCTGCTGGTGATAGTTGGCACTGCTAGAAGATGGGTTTTATTCCGCAGTAGTTTTATTCCACAGTAGTCTCTGTTGTTGGAAAGAATTACAGTACAGAGCCCACCTTGGAGTTATGGACCATTTATAAGATGGTTTACAGGATTCCTTGGCATTTAGGGGTCCTTGAAGGCTTGAGAGATATCGAGGAGCCGTAGACAAGGACTTGACTGGGTCCCTAGGTGAATAAGCTCTCATTTCTGAGCCTCATTGCCTAGCTCATCTAAAGGGGACCAAAACTGCCATTCTTTAGGAAGGCTGAAACAATGAAATGAAAGCATATCACCAACAAAGACGCTCTGGACAGCCATGGGGCCATTGCTGACGGGGTTCAGAGTCCCTGATCCAAATATGGCTTATGGAGTTGGTCCCTCAAAGCCATATAATTCAGAATTCCTGGGAGCCTCCTCCCAGAGTTTATTGGGCCCTGTCTAGGCCAAGGGGAAAACAGTAGGAACTTGAACTGTATCCCATTTGCCAAATCCATGTTTTAAAGATAACCTTTAAAAAGGTATTATAACCCCAACTGAGGATTGAAATATAATCTAAGTCAGTGATACATGGGCAGATTTGGAATCAGGGTCCAAATGGTGTCACTCAAAACCCCCCAGAATGTTAGAAGGCAGGCCACGAGGGATGGGCTGCAGGCCACAGTACTGCTCACAGCCCACTGGGACTTCTGTCCCTGCCTTAGGGGGCTTGGAAGGGATGTCCCTGTCTGTCTTACCACAGAGAATGACTCCTTCCTGACCAGACGCATCGGCCCTAAGGATGTGGGACTTATAAAGCTGCGTTATTTGTGGACTCCATGTATATCTCTCTCCTGCTTTCTCTCCCTCTCTTCCTGTCTCTGTCTCTCCTTTACTTCCTCCCTCTCTCCTTTTCCTCTGGCCCTGGGCCTCCCCAGCAGTCCCAGAGGACCCAGGACGCCTCCCAGCAGGACTTGGTACCTGGAACAGCCGCAGGCTTGGAAGTGTTCACTCAGAAAAGCCTCGCAGCATCACCTGAGGTTACTGTCTTCACTTTCCTGTGCCCCTTCCACCCAGGGCCTGCTCCCCACCCTGATCTACCCTTTGGGATCTTAAAAAAGCCATTATGTGGGGTGAGGGGAATGGACCAGACCATGCCTTGCACAGGGGGACAGGCTGGCCCATTTTCTTTCCACACTATAACCAGCGAGTGTCCTCCCCCCTCCACCCAGGGGTACATAAGAGCTAGCCCGTCTCCCTCATCCATTGCTTATAAGAAAGGTCAACACTGGAAAAACAGAGCAGCTGAATCACCTCCAGACTCAGAGGGATGGTAGATACCTCTTAGGCCCTGGTGAGGCAGGACACCCTGGACGCAGGCTCTGATCTCTCCATGTGGGGTTAAGGATCACGGCCCTGAATGCCTCCCACCCTAGCTCTTGTCTCTGTTTAGAAGCCTGGAAAGGTCTAGCAGTAGTTGGTTGGAGTGTGGCCTTCCAGGCAGCCTCTGCCTCCAGCGCTCCAAACTCCTCTAGGCTTGGGTCTGTCAGGATATTCAGGTGGACAAAATTGGGCATCTTTCTTCTAAGAGTATCATTGGGTTTGCAGAAGTATTGATCAGGCAAGCATCATAAGTGAGGAGGGCACTGCTTCTGGGCCCAGGCTGAGGGTTCTTGGAACTTCCTATGGATGCAGAGTAGGAAACCCAGGCACTAGCAGCAAGAGGCACATCTTCCTTGTCCACTGGGATTTCATAGACCGTCAGGGTTGGAAGTTCTGAACAGCTGTGGAGGCTGGTGTTTTTTTTGTTTTTTGTTTTTTGTTTTTTTGGGTTTTTTTGAGACAGGGTCTTGCTATACAGTTCAGACTGTCCTTGAACTCTCAGTGATCCTTCTGCCTCAGCCTTCTGAGCGCTGGGATTACAGGCATGCACCACCATGCCCAGTAGCTGGGGAAGTTTTTGTCTCCTAGTCTCTGTTGGCATAGTGTGTGGGGGAAGGTCATATACCTTTTTGTTTTCATGGAGAAAATTTCTGTAGCTGCTACAGATGTGTTGTAACTATAAGAAAGATGCTAGTCACCCATAGATATGATAAAATAGAAATCACATCTTTCCTTGTAAAATAAAACTAAAATTATTAGCACTCTTTGAGGGGTAGTAGAATAGGAGTCTGTAGCATCCTAAGGCCAAAGGCATAGTGAGGTCGTGTAGCCCAGAGATGCTCCAAGAACTGGCAGGTGCCCTTCCTGGGAGCGGTGCTCTCTGTACCCGCTTCCTCAGCATCCTGCCAGCTGTTTCTCAGCCTTTCCACAGAGGGGGTGCACCTGTCCTGATGGTAGCTCATTTTGTTTTTAGACATCAATTAGAAAGCCTTCTTTGTATTAGCTGAAAAAACTGCTCTTCTGCGTCAGCAGCCTGTCAGCCTCCATCTACCCTCTGGTGCCCACAAATTTGCTCTGCAGCCCCCCACCCCAAGCTACCCTCAGACAACTGAATGCCTCCTCTCCCCCGAACACTCCCAGCCCATTCAGTGATTGTTCTGGGAAGTGGTTTCTAGAAGGCCTTTCTGTGAAGAGCAAGGCCCAAAACATGACGTGAGCTCTAGCATCAGCACAGCTGCCTGGTTGGAATTTCTTCTGTATTTTATGTGGAACCCAACCTGGCTTTTTCCTGTCTCCTGATCCAGGCCCTGGGCTGACATGGAATCCCAAGCAGATGGCCAAGGGTGCTCTGAACAAGACACTGAGAGTCTTTGCTCAGTGCTCTGACTTTGTTCCGTCTTGTGAAGGGGGCAAAGCGTGGTTCCACCAGTGTTTTGGCCCTAGAGAAGTTTTTCATTCAGTCTTTTTGCTTCTTCTTCAGTATTCTACCTACCTGCTTCTACATATTAGCAGTAGAACCCCTTCCTCCAAAACTACTCGCTCTGGTCTTATGCAAGTCACCCTCCCCTCTGGGTGCCTCCAGTTCTTCTTCAGAAATGAGGTAACACTGTCTGCATCACTGGTTGCCAATCAGATTAAATTCGGTAACTTAGACCAAGCGCTGGCGTGGTGCAGTACCTAATAACCAATGTTACCATGTATTTCCCTTTCTCTGCCTGCAGACTTTTTCTTTCCATTCTATGCCAGCTCCCACCCCACACACTTTTTGCTTATCTAACCTGGTTACTAATTAGAACTAGGGAAGAAATGGTCCAGAAGGGGTCTTATTGAGCAGCTTTGGCCCTCATTGGCAGGCTGATGATGTTAGTAAGAGCTGAAATGTAAACAGGAAAAAGATCCTGCCTGCCTCCCA